GACTGTCTAGCTCCTAACCCAGAGTAAGGGTGGGGCGGGGCAGAGGAAGCCCTGGTCTTTTATCGCCCTCATTTTTGGTGGCTAAAAGAAGAGGGAACTCCTTAGAATGGACCTTCGAAGAATTGTTCTCAAAGGACGGCGAGACGTGCCTCGCGCTCTGTGACAAGGACCCTACCTGTCCTAAGGACATAGGCATCTTGACGCGCCCCCCCTCTCCGCTTGACGTCTCTGATGGGAGACGGGTAGGCGGACGAGGTAGGTAGACAGTAGTCTGTGTGTGCGCGGTGGAGCGCTCATGGTATGTCATGAGACTATCCGCGGCCCACATGAAAGAGACCTACACGACACCAACCACCTGTTTTGTGCGGGTCTCGGGGAGGTGTGCGACGTAAAAGTGTCCGAGGAGTAATACAGCAGCAAATCCTCTTATGAGCATTTGGCGCGTAAGGTGCCGAGTTGTGGTGATTCCCTACCGCCTCCACACACGTCACGACAGTGTGCTAACGCATTGTTACCGGAGGCACCCGAATATGCTGGCACCATCTCCCAGACCTCTGTCTCCTTTTAGGTACGACGGATTTGGGTTTTTCAAAGTTCCATCTGCCGCTAAACTTATGCGTCGGACGACAAGAGATAACATCTGGCGTATTCAAATTTTTTGGGTCCCCGAATTCGCCCCTCGGGAACGAACGTATAGATTGGAGAGGGAGGACAGGTACTGATTGTGGCGGCGCGGAGGTTCCGCGCTTAGGACGAGACCCTTCCCTACCACCGCACCAACAGTACACTGCTCGGGTGCCGTCTCGCGAGGGTGCTGCAACGTAAAGTGGTCCGAGAGGAATACAGCGCAAATCCCTCTTCCGCAGCATTGGCCTTTAAATTCCACGCAAGTGCGAGTTGTGGAGGACTCCCTACTCGGCCTCCACACACCGTCCGACCAGGTGCATTACTCGGGAAAAGGCCATTCCCTTGTTGGACACTGACAGATCGAGGATGGGTCTCATTCCCCCCGCCCCGTCTCCCAAGGGACCAGAAAATAGCGGGAGTACAAACCGTGATTTTCTTCCCCTTGAGGAACCCTAGAAAAAGGCTTTCTTCAACCCGAGTTCCAGCCGCTCTGCATGGAGCGCGAGACACTGTTCCTGGGATGACAGGATTCCCTGTATCCCGTAGAACTGCGGGGGGGAGAGGCGAACTGCAGAGACTACCCTCTGCCCATCCGCCTGCTCATCCATCTGTCCATCAGACACACACGCCGCCACCCTGAGTACCATACAGTACTCTGATAGCGCCGGGTGTACTTTCTCTGGATGTGCTGTGGTTGGTGACAAACCACGCAAGAGCCCTCCACACGCTGCATTTCACACAGGCTCTCGTTATGTCGTCGTTTAGGAGAATACTCGTAAACCGCGCATTCACGCTCAACACCACTAAGGGATGAGCGGAGGTGTGTGCAGTGCTGTCCACACGATGCGTAACAATGGCCCTCCGTGGGCTTATTACGACCGTGGGTAGGAGGTGTCTGAGACAGAGGAAAAATCCATGCTGCCTAAACCCAAAAAGTTTAAGGTAGACGGATTTGAATAGCAAGCCCTGCTGTTTTATTAACCGATAAGTTAAAAAACCCAGGCTTAACCGGGGAGCCTTGCTGCATATTAACTTCCCTCTGTCCATCTAACACACGCGCCGTCTCTCAAGGCGCGAATCTGCTCTGGAGGATGTGCTGTGGTTGTCATGGTGACGAGCCACGCCAGAGCCCTCCAGACGTTGCATTTCACACAGGCTCTCCTTATGTCGCGTTTAGGAGAAGGCTCGTAAACCGGAAATTTAAGGTGCGTTCACGCTCAACACCCCTGAGGGATGAGCGGAGGTGTGTGCAGTGCTGTCCACACTGTAATAATGGCACTCGTGGCTCATTACGACCGTGTGTAGGAGGTAGGTTTGGGACAGAGGAACAAAAAAACTCCGAGCTGCCTAAAAACCAATAGGTTTTAAAGACAGCCGGTTATGCAGCGAGCCATGCTGCCTATAACCGACAGGTTAGGGGAAGCCGGCTTACCCGGTGGGCCTTGCTGCTTATTATTATCCATCTGTCCATCGAACACACACGTCGCCACTCTGAGTAATACTCTGAGAGCGCACAACATGTTTTGGATGTGCTGTGGTTGTCATGGTGACGAGCCACGCCAGAGGGGGCCTCCACACACTACCTCTCACACCGGCTCTCATCCTGTCTCTAAACAGAGACAGGATGAGAGCCGGTGTGAGAGGTAGTGTGTGGAGGCCCCCTCTGGCGTGGCTCGTCACCATGACAACCACAGCACATCCAAAACATGTTGTGCNGCACTGGGAACTAAGTACGGCAAAGTACTTGGTGTGAAAGCGCCTATAATGAGCCTGGTTTCTGACTTTTTACAATCTCTTTTTTGAGATATTAGCTCTGCAGCATTCTTCCATGGGGCGTTTTTTTTCTTACCAGTGACAACTGTGATCTTAATGGGGGCAATGTAAAAAAAATCCATTACATTTGGATCAAAAGTTTTGTTTTTATTGATTAAGCGCTGTCGGATTATTGCTGTTTTAAAACGCTGTAATAATCTGAAGGGGCAACAACAGTCACCACAACCTTAAAAATATGTTGATCTTTGGAAATAGATAGAACTTGATTTTTACAATGTGTTGAGTATGTAACATCCAGCCCAAACGTGTTTAGGATGAAAGTTATTTAGCACTACCATCTTTAGGTTTTTCAATATTACCATTGCAATCTCCCACTATTATTAACACAGGAATAATCAATTAACAATCAATCAAAAATCAATTAAAAGAGTGTGCACTTCTCTTCGGAAGCCTGTAAGTGATTCTCATATTAAAAGAAAGATCTCAACTAAATCGCAAAATATTGAAAGGGTCTACTATAATACCAGCTTTGTCTTACCACTGAAGTTGAGGTCGTAGTCTCCCGCAGTGATCACGTTAGTGGCAGCGCCCTCTTGTGGCTGGCAGGATAACACCACTTCATTGAGCATACGGCGCTGGGCGGGGCTGAAGGTAGACGGGGAGTTTAGGTTTGTCACCACGTTGTTCACACAGATTCGCAGATTTTTCACAACCTGGACCTGGTTATTGGGGTCCCGGATATGACCTAGAAAAGAGGAAGACAAGACACGTATTTGTTGTTGTTGTTGGGGTTAAAAAGGCTAAAATCCCTGTGTTCCCTCCAGAGGGAGTTTGTCTCCCACACACACACCACCCTCCCTGCCAGAAACGCCTCCATTGTAGGCCTTTGTTTACTTCCGTGACATGGTGGCATCACGCTATGTAACACTCATGCTTCCATTGGATAACGCTCAAACACATTGTACGTGATTGGCTAAGGGGCGGGACATCTGTAAAAGGTTGACAAATCACAAAGGAACTGGGTTAGTTAACCATAACCAATCAGAGCAGACTAGGCTAGACTGAGAAAAATAAAGCACTTTTTGAAAATTAAAGCATGAAAACATGTCACATTAGAGGCACAAAATACACAAATGAACAGGAACATGAGCATAATACGGCCCCTCTGGTTATGCAGGCTATTTACATTTTTAAAACTCTAGGCAGCATGTCTTCCTTTAATTCCATGGACCATAATTAATGTATCCTAATTATACTAAAAGTCAGTATAATTAAATATTGAATACTACATTATATACTGTAATATCCATGTTTTACTGCGTAGTCGTAAAAAGTTGGTCTTTTACTTTGAGATGACAAATAAATTAACATATTACATGAGCAGTAAAACCGGTTCTCCGAAGCAATTCTTTTCTTTATGGCAATTCTACTTTAGACATCCTGAGTAATATTACCAAAAGAAAGCCATGTTCTTATGTTGATTTAGGGGGGGGGTTTGCAGCCTGCAGGTAAACCAGGAGGCTGTGGCGCAGTGGATTAGAGTGTTGGTGTATGGCTCAGGGGGGCACAGGTTCAAACCCCACTGCAGTCAGCATGCCGTTGTGTCCCTGGGCAAGACACTTCACCCCAAATTGCTCCTGTGGGGATTGCCCATAGTATTGAGTATGTAAGTCGCTTTTGATAAAAGCGTCTAACATGTAATGTAATTGTGTATGTAATTTAAACCTGCGCTTAATCCATCAGCAAGTTCAGTTTCTGTCTAAATTGATCCTGACTTGCTCAGATGTCATGCAAAGGAAAGCTTCAGGATGATTCAGAGAGGGTGAATATGTATATAGTTGTAATTACTATCATATAACCAGTTTATATTACAAATGGTGCGTAAGGACTGCATACGAACATCTTAATGTATTATAAAGCAACACAAATATTTCAAAATTACACCAGAGGTAAAACCCAGACAGATTCAAGATTTTCATTATCCTCCTTCTACATTTTGATTATTGATTCATGTTTTAGATGTGAAGGGCCAGTCCCAGCTCATTTACACACTGGGTGACATGAATGCAACCTTACTTGACAACTGTAGCCCCTCTAATTGTTAAAGTGAGATAATTAAGGCTAAAGGTTGCATAGCATTGTAATAACGTGATAAAACACGTGTTGTGTAGTAAGTATATGTTCTGATAACATGTGAATAATGTGAGTTTATGGGAGTGTATGTTCCTGTGTCCTGTTCTGTCCTCCTGTTGACAGTGGTTTGTGTCACCACGGTTGACTTGGCTCTGTGGAAGTAGCCTGCAACTCAAGCCTATAAGCCAATAATGTGCCTGAATAGTCAAGTTATTTCTTGATAATGGAAGAAGAAGAACAGCAGACATGTTAACTGTGTGTCTTCCAGAAGCTCCGAGCTCAGGTGTCCGTCAGTCGGCCCTCTCAGGTGTCAGTCTGGACTTCATCCCCTCCACTTGGTCAACACCGCTGCTAGCCGCCTGCTAGCGCTGAGCTAATGTCAACAGGCTAAAGACGCTAGCTTCGTGTGAGACGGACACTCTTGGTAAACATTCTCCCTTACCTTCGGACGTTAGTCTGCAGAAAGGCCGCAGCAGCTCAGCGAAACTCAGGTTGTTCTTGCGAGTCACTCTCTCCGCCTCTTCACTACACAAGACGGCCACCATGGGAACAAACGAGTCCTGGACGAACTCCTGCACAGACTGAACACATTGGGCCATGTCGGAGCAGCGTCGATAGCAGCTAACACACGGAACCGAGTCAGAAACCGGACTGTTTCATAGCCTGGACTACTCCTCCTCTATTCGCAGACAGCAGCCATGTTGAATTAGCCAACCGACTTCCTGTAGGGCTGAGGCGGTCAGCTGATGCCTGACACCGGGCTGCTTCCTCTTCCTCTGCACACCACACCATCTGTGCTATGTTTTATTTATCAGTGCGTTAATGTGCACTTCTTTTCTCTGTTTGTCTCGATAGCCAAATCTGAAAGTATTCAGGGTTAGGATTTTTAATTTATTTTAAATGTGTTTGTATCCTTTTATGATCATTTAATAAACTGTGTGCACTTGCATTACTATTTTAATGTATATTATCCGATAACTACTTAACATACCGTTTGTAGGTTTTAAATGTGTTTTATATTATTTATTTATAATTATTGAATTATTATTATTATTGAACTGGGTTATTATTTGGTAATTGTTTTGGCTTTGAGCAGGAAAAAGCATGTGCCATCTAGTTCCATCATATTGGAGAGAAGGCAGACAATCACTAATATTTCCAACATCAGGCAACTCACCAAAAAAATCTAGATTAATCAAACGCTACAGGTAAAAGCAAAAACATTTATTTTAGATTTTAGTGTGACCTGTTCCGGGAATGATAATACTATTGGCAGATGGGTCCCTATGAGGAATATCAACAGAGGCATGGGTTACTCACACTCATACGCAACAAGATATCGATCAATATCATTGTATGCGTGGAAACAGTACAAATAGCTAATGACACCAGCGATTTATTTTTCTTCAACCCTTTTTTAACATGTTATAAATGGTTCGTAGACATTGTTATTGAAAATACAAACATTTATTGAATACAGATCAATCAACGGCTCTGCTGTGCTGAAACATACAGTACTTCCAGTCATGTTAATACAGATGGAAGTCAAGGCCTTTCTGCCTCTTCACTGTTGGCTTTGGCCAACCAAAAGTCTTTTCATGTCATCTCAAACTGATAAAACAATATCAGCAGCACTGTAGAATCCTTGTATACAATACAGTCTATAGCATCAGGCTCATGTGACCCCAGAGCAATAAAGCCAGCAGTCTGATGGAAGCAGGCCTCCTTTACCATCCAGGAGCTGCCCGGCAAGACTCCCAGGTGGAGAGGCAGTAATGTGATGTGCACAGGCTACACACAAAACGAACCAGGGGGGTTATTTAATGTTGCGAAATATGCGCCGAGCGTGGCTGGATTTCATGGCAGCCAGAGCGGCCTCCAGTGTGGAGATGAGGTGCAGGAGGGTGCTGGGGTCCGTCTGGAGAACCTTCCCTCTGCGGGCACAGACTCCGTCACCAACCCCACTCAGGAGCAGTCGCAGTGTCAGCATGGGAACCACCTGCTGACGGACTGCACGACTCGCCAACTGCCGGAAGAAGTTAGGGAAACCAGAGAAAAATATGGAAGAAGAAGAAGTTCAATCAAAACCAGTCAACATTAGCTGCTAGCCGTCTTTTAGCGCTGAGCTAATTTTATCAGGCTAAGGATACTTGCGCTATTTCTAAAGCTCGGACATTCATATATATTTAAAAACCAAACAGGTTTTAAATAAATTGGTTGTGTTATTAAGGCTGAAGTGTTTCTGATCCGCCTTTTCACTATTTCATAGTGGCAGGCACACAAGTTCTGATGGTGCTGAGGTCTCAGTAAATGATTGAAGTTAGAGTAAGTTAGATTTTGAAAGTATCCCACCGAAGAAATGCACAAGAAATGTCAAACATAACATTATATTGAATAATGTGCTGACAAAAAGTGCAGATTCTGTATCTGTAGCTCTAAATACAAATTAACTGCCACGCCCCCCTGAGAAGGGATTGGTTTAAAAAAACACAATGCTGCTCTAGGAGGAGATGCAGATGATAAGGTGGGTGTTTCCTTGGTTGGTTATTGGCTAATGGTTGCACAATCCAAAAGAACATTCTGACAACACAAAGTCGCCAAAATCTGATCAGCTCATTTTCGGACAGGTTTTCATATAAATGAATCAGGACAAAGAGAGAGATAATCTGATGATTGGGCTAATGCAAAGAAACAAATACATACCTGTACATCCAGTCTCCACTCCAGGTTGTGGTAGGCTGGCTGGTTGGAGGGCAGCTGACTCAGGATGCTGCGGATGTGAGCGTGGTGCTGAAGGTAGAGCTGCAACATACAGAAGAGCATGTTCATTCAAAGTTTAAAATTCTTCTGCTCATCACACACCTATCACACACACAGTAAAGTCACCTGTAAGAGGATCTGGTTTAGCTCCTCACTGAAACCCAAGACCAGCACAGAGTCCAGGAAATCCACTTCAGAAATCTACACACCCAAAAATAGACACACAGCAAAAAGATACCTCTATCAACTCAGAAATAATGGCCCACATAATGTTACATGTTGTAGCTTGAAAAAACCTTGCCAACTGACATCAAGCGCATTGACATGTATTAGACAATGAGAAACAGAGTGTGTGTGAGTCACCATGTGTTTGGAGCTCTCTGTCATCAGGAACATCAGGCCTTCCACTCCATGCTGCACCATTTCCACAGAAACACCCAGCTTCCCTGCAAGCAGTGGGTCAATAAGTATTTTTACCCAGAAGCAATGAGCTTTTGGGTAAAGCTCCATGTTAAGGAAACTATAAAACATCATTAATAAATCCTGTTTATACAGTTTGTCTAAATGACAATGTGCACTGCTGCCTACAGAGTAGTGTCTCTGTGGACCAATGAGCTGCTTACTAAGGAAGATGTGATGAAAGCTGTGTTCTTACTTGCTGCCCCCTCATAGATCTTAGGACTGGTTCCTCTCCTCAAGAACTCCAGCGTTATGCGACCAAACTCCCCAACCACTGAGGAAAGAAACACAAGGATGCATTTTGTCACTGCACTAAAGTGTCAATTCAGAATCAGAAATCACAAATACAATTTGTAATAAATAATAAAATATATAATAAATAAAAATTAAATGAGAACACATTCAAGGTAGGTACATAGAAGCATTATTAAGTAAATAAACATGAAGTTTGATTAAAAAAATGAATGAGTAACAGCCAGTAATAACAGTTGTTGATAGTAGAAAGTACATATTTCAAGTTGTTATTTTACAACAGTGTTGTTCAATTATGAAGCAGTGCAAAAAATAAGCAGCCAGTGCTCCCCTGGCCACATGCTTAGAGTGTAATACAAGTAAAAGTCCTGCATTCAAAATGTTACTCAAGTAAAATTGCAAAAGTATTAGCAACAAAACATACTTAAAATACCAAAAGCAAAAATTGTTATTGTGCAGATTGGTCCATTTCAGAAATATGATATATTTTATAATGCATTAAAGTGTTCTAAAAGCTGGTAAAGGTGTAGCTAATGTGAATGACTGTGTATACTGCAGGGTAGCTTGTCTTGTTTAGTTCCAGGTGGAACTAAAGTCTGTTCTATATCGTATAAGGCTTCGCCCTCTAAGGCTATCGCTATTTGGTAATCCCTCCTGCACGTGTGCAGCACTGACAGATTTAATCCACGCCCACCTACAGTATGACGTGGGCCCCACCTCCGGGCTCACTTCCGTATAAATAGGAAGTAGGCCCTACCATCTACTCCCACTTTTCTTCAGCACTCCGTTGCGGAAGCACTGTCAGGCACAAAGCTCTTTTCAGAGCTGTTTACTAAAAAGCAAACATTCCTGGTTCCCCTGGGCCCATCCTCCCTCTCCTCCGGACGGGGGAAACAGGGCGGGGGCCCGGTGTCAACCCGACATATGAGTTACGACCGGAGCTCACGGTGTGAGTCCTGCCGGGGATTAGAGCACGCAAACGCGGCTCTCACTCCCCAGGTGTCGTGCACTCATTGTGTCCGTCTCCCTCTGGCCCACAGACAGTGGAGAGTGGACGCTCTCGCTGCTGCGGCCGAGGATGATTGGCTGGTCCAGGAGTCTTACTCTGTGGACCAAGCCCTTTATTTATTGGATCCGAGTGGCGGGCAGCAGTCAGGCGACTCCTTCCCCTCCATTCACGGTTCACCATGTGGTTCCCCCGCCCTGTCTCCCTCTCCTCCGGCGGGGGAGACGGGGCGGGGGCCCGGTGTCAGCCCGGTAGCCGAGCCTAGGTTCGGCTGCCGGGCTGACACCGGGTCACCGGGTCCCTCTATCCGCCATCACGGCTCTGCCGTCGATAGGCGGTATTCTCCAGGAACTCCCGGAGATCATCGGAAAGGCAGCCGCCTAATGAGATCTCCCCGTTCCCCCGGTTCAGGAGAGCTCTCCTCCGGATGACATAAAAAAAGCTGCATAAGCGGCTGCCTCACAGCCTGTCGGTTGTTAGGCAGCAGGGCTCACGGCTCAAACCGGCTGTCTTTAAAACCTGTCGGTTAATTAGACAGCCCGGGTTTGTTTCCTATGTCACATATGTGCCTCCTACACACACCTCCGCTCATTCCTCAAGCAGGTTTGAGCGTGAACCTCAATGTCCGGTTTACGAGTCTTCTCCTAAACGGCGACATGATGAGAGCCGCTGTGCAATACAGCGTGTGGAGGTGCATAAGCCAGCTGTTTGCTACCTGTCGGTTAGCAGACAGCGGGGCTCGCCGTTTGAGCCGGCTGTAACCGGTTGGTTAGCGCGGCAGCAGAGCTCGCGGCACAAGCCAGCTGTAATTAACCAGTCGGTTATTAGACAACAGGGCTTGACGTTTAAACCTGATGCTCCTAACCTGTCGGTTATAGCAGCACGGTTTTTCCTCTGTCCCAGATGTGCCTATACTACACACGGTCGTAATGAGCCTAGGGCTGTTATTACGCACTGTGTGAATAGCACTGCACACACCTCCGCTCATTCCTCAGCAGGTTTGAGCGTGAACGTGCCTCAATGTCCAGTTTACGAGCCTTCTCCTAAACTCAACATAAGGAGAGCCTGTGTGAAATGCAACGTCTGGAGGGCTCTGGCGTGGCTTGTCACCATGACAACCACAGCACATCCAGAGGAGGTTCGCGCCTTGAGTGACGGCGCGTGTGTTAGATGGACAGAGGGAAGTTAATATGCAGCAAGGCTCCCCGGTTAAGCCGGCTGCCAATAGCCTATTGGTTACTTGGCAGCATGGCTCGCTGCCTAAGCCGGCTGGGTTTTTAACTTATCGGTTAATAAAACAGCAAGGCTTGCTATTCAAATCCGTCTACCTTAAACTTTTTGGGTTTAGGCAGCATGGATTTTTCCTCTGTCTCAGACACCTCCTACCCACGGTCGTAATAAGCCCACGGAGGGCCATTAGCCGCATTCACACTGCAGGACTTTCCCTGGTACTTTGGTTCTTTAGTTCCGTTAGTACCAATAATGTCGCGTTCACACCGCCGGGACTACTCAGTGCCGGGAACTCTTTTGGCCATTTTCAGTCCCTGCTAGAGAGGTGGTACGAACCTGGTGATAAAAGAGTGCCAATTTCTATTCTATTTCTATTGGCTGGGCGAATTGCAAACCACGCCCCGTTAGACTCTGAATTTTTTTTGTTAGGCAGCCATTTTTTTCCTCGCTACAAAACCACATCCACACCTGAGCGAGTAGTTTTTTTGTACTTTAAAGCAGTTATGACCAGTGCTTGAATTGGGCCGGTACTCACCGGTACGCAGTACCGGCACTTCTGATTTTTACCCATGTGGTACCGGCACTTCTTACTGAGTACCGGCAAGGTGCCGGTACTCAGTAAAATGCCGGTACTCAGCCGCCGGCAATATATGGGAGATCAAATTTAGAGTGATTGGGTTTTTCTTTGTATACCTCTACCCTGATTAAATTTTTAAACGGGTTTAGATAAACCCTTTGTCACCGGCGGCCCCGGAGTAGTTTAGGATGATCCCCGCCCCAGGCCCCGATACGAGGCCATTCTAAACAAAAAATTTACAACGCTGAATTTCACGTAGTTAGACCACGTAAAACTCCCTTTAGTTCGTCTGATGTGGCGTATAACTTTGTTTTTACGCATCATGTAAATTTCTTAGTATTGTTAGTATTTCATGTACCGGGGTGATTGGTTAATTGTATGTTATAGGCTTATACCTTTTTTGTTAATCTTGAAAACAAATAAATAAACAAACGCAAAAAGAATAAAATATCCAACACTCACACAGAGACGCCGGAGAAAGCCTTAGCCGGAGAGGACCCAGAGAGAAGAGAGGGGACGAGGAGAAACACCGATAACAGATAATGCAAATACAGAAGAAGAATTGTTTCGAAATAGAACTTGGAAGAAGAAGTGTTCATTGTAAACAAACATATACATAATAGGATATAGTATAGAGGAGATTTAATACACATTACTATTAAAATGTATTTACCACATGGCTTGGCAAACTCTAGACTCTAGATAATGAAACAATTGAATTAACCTTTATCTAGAGAGTACACCACAACACCTCATTAAATGATGAAGATCTCGCTACATAGTTTCAAGGGGGTACCAAAGACCTAGTCATTTTCTTGCGGGGGGAGAAACACACACCTATAGTACGAGGGGGGAGGGAATATAAAACAATAAAACCCGCTCAATCGTGTCTACGATACCACAACGTGGGTAATGTGCATTTGAGACACCAAACACACAGAGCCAAGAAAGAGCGAAGGGCGAGGACGAACAGAGTATAAAGAGAGAAGGAGAGATAGAAGGAGGGATCGAACTTACTGTGTAGATTACATAACATTAGGAGAGGTATAATACCTCCCGTAATCCATACTGCAGACGAACTTCTCAACCGTTTCACAGCGTCCGCGCTGCCAGTCATCTGTCGGTCAGTGGGGGAGACACTCCGCGTCTCGCAGTCTGGTGTACGCGCCGCAACGCAAATGACTTNTCAGAAACCAGGCTCATTATAGGCGCTTTCACACCAAGTACTTTGCCGTACTTAGTTCCCAGTGCTTAGTTCATCGGAACTCTGACGTCACTTCTTCTGCTTTGGGTTTACTGGCAGGCCGCTAACAACTTCACGGCGTATACTGTCACCCGAAGTCCCCGGCCGGAAGTCCCCGGAGTTGGGGACTGGCTTCAGTAGAAGCTGCTGGGACTCCCAGCAGCTTCTACTGAAGCCTTCCGAGTAAATCGCCAGAACGCCGACACCTCCTCATCTCCACTGCTCCCCTGTTTTCTTTTTGTGTTGCCATAAGTTAGTCTCTCTCCGTTGGTGCGCTAAACTTTACGGGGCGTGGTTTGCAATTCGCCCAGCCAATCAGAAATTGGAACTTTTTTCTCCCCAGGAAAGTCCTCTTTTTAGTGTGAACGCAAAATCCTAGGAAAAGTACTCCGGTGTGAAAGCGCCTTATGATACATCTGGAGAGAGGCTTTGCATCTATAAAGTGCCAGGCAATCCTTATTCTTTGAAATCAGTAATGTACTAAGTTACAGTGTTCTACAGACTGACAAGCCCCTCAATATTAGTCCCTCCTAACCTGTTATCTGCCAAGTCATTCAATGATGTTGCTTTTTTTTTGTCAAACAAAGCCACAAATAAGAACATTTTTCAGCTCCTCTGGTTAAAAAGCTATATCATCTCTGTCTCTGCAGACATGTTCAGCCTCTAGATAAAGTAACCTGTGCATAAATAGTACGAAAACTTTAGGCGTAACACCTGCTGTCCCTGGAGGTAATTGATGGATTTAACCTGTTTTGGCATCGTTGCAGCTTGTGAATTATTTTGGCAGTAGCGCTCATAGTTCCCTTCTCAATCATTGCATACCGTCTTTCACGTTGTGCGTTGTGGAGGAGGTGTTGGGAACTTTCTGGAACAATAACGTAAACAAACGATGACGTCTGAAACATTGCCTTGTAACATGGAACATTTCATGGACCAAGGCATAGGACTTGCAATGGAACAGGTTGTTGAACACGCCATGGTACACGTCATGGAACAATGCATGGAACAAGGCATGCGACACACCATGGTGAACAGTGGTACACTACACACAGGGGCGCCGCCAGGGATTTTGGGCCCCATGAAAAGATATCACATTGGGCCCCACCACCAGGCCCAGGCCACGCCAACCAAGCACAATTGCTGTAACCACACCTACAGAACCCAACCCACTCATTTATGCTTTAAATAACTCTACCTGTACAGGCTTGCCTCTATCTTGTAGTCCAATACTAACTGCACAATATTTACTGACACTGAGCTGTGAACATATAACACTGTGCAGACTGCAAATTCTATTGCAACATTCTGCTGCAGTATAATTTACTATTTGATATAAGACTAACATTCCTGACAATAGATCTCAATAGTCATCTTTTATGGTGTACATGCCTTTTTAATAACATTTTTCAATGGAACATTCATAAATATAAATAAATATACATGACCTCTTAAATTAAAATAAAGTGAACATTAACACCAATATTATCATTTATAAAATGCTATAACAAAAGAAATAACATAAGCAGCAGATTTTTTCAATTAAAATATACATACCAACTACAAAATAAGCGGGTATTAAAGTGTAAATGGACAACAAAACGGAAATGGAAATGGTAAGGCCTGATGGTGGTGCTAAATTAGAGCCTATTACCTGTTCTCAGTCTTTTTCTCATCATGTGTCTTCTGTGTGATCCAATATCGTTACCATAGCCTTGCCCTTCAACAGTTATTACGAGCAGAAGACACATGATGAGAAAAAGACTGAGAACAGGTAATAGGCTCTAATNGACTGTCCTCCTCCTCATTCACTTGTTCACTTTCGCTGGTGATATTCTCCTCTGTACCTCTCTTCCGAATACCTCCCGTTTTGAGCCACGTTTTTAACATCATTCAGCTTTCTTCTTTCTTTAGCTTGCTTGCAACGTTAGCGGGTAGTAAGGTCGTAATTAGCAACGCCAGAAATAAAATAAAATAAATGTTTTCGTTTCTAAATCTAAAAACAGCAATAACCAATTAGAACTAATTTAAACCACAGTTTCAATTATCTCAAGCTTATTTTCATTTGTTGTAGTATTTTGATAGTATGATTTATTTTTTAATTAATGTTATTCAATCAAGCCTCAAACTGATGGCACTTGTCCCTATAGCCTGTTTTAAATTGAAGTTGTCTGAGGTCCTTACCATCAGCTGCTGTCGCAGTAATAAGTATTGTACCTTAATGTCCCAAATGTGCACAATGTAGTGACTGCTTTTCGTCTTTTTGTTTACTTAGTTGTGTTTCCTGTATTTTATATGTCTGTGTTATGTGTAAAGGTTAAAGGTGGGTATGTTTGAGAAACCGGCTCGAGATACACTTTTTGTTATATTCCATGGAATGCTCTTAACATCCCGATAGCAATGAATATCTTAAGTGCTTTGACAAAAAATCCATAAAAAAACGTCATCTGTGGAAGGCTCTGTAAGGAAGTGGCATATTTTTTCCGGTTGTGTATTTTCAAATTCTAGCTCACTCGAGCTATTTTCTCCAAAATTACCTACCCCACCTTTGAATAAAAAATTTTTTTTTTTAAATTAATCTTTTTTTTTTTTTTATATGTCAGATTCCTCCACGTACCACTAGCGGGAGCTGGCGTACCACAGGTTGAGAACCACTGAACTAGAAGATTTCACAATGAAACCTAACTCTGTTACTCAATATTGCAAAGATTTTCAATCTTTGTCTAAATCCAAGCCAAACCTAACTCCAACCCTAACCCTAGGCATTACATCAATTCTGAATATAGCATAAAAGCCTAGTTAAATCACCACTTCCCCTAAAGCATCAGCTAGTTAAGAAGATATCTATTGGTTATCTTAAGAAGAGGAAGCCAAAGGGAGTGTATGAAGAAGCTGTGCAACTGACTGACCTTTCTCTGGTGAGTCCACTTCAGCTGCATTCATGTTGTTCTCAACAGCAGCACTGTTCACAGCTGCTGCTCCATCCTCAAGAACATCCTGCAATCATGTCACAATGTTAACACAAGGCACACAACAGAGCTTCTGGACTGTGCTTGGAGAAGGGTTTACCTGGTTCTGCGGATTGTTCCTATGCAGGTATTGACTCCAGGGGTCTGGAATCTGTTCATCTTCTTCGGCTGAGATGGTACGAGAGTTCATTTTTAACAGATAGCAGCCCTGATGACCATACCTCTGTTTCATATCCTCGTACACTGAATCCGCCCTGGAGAGGAAGCAGGAACAACAATTAAACCCGGCAGCTTAGTCTTAATAAAAGCCATTCAAGAACATTGCCCTTTTTTTTTAATCTTCAGTAGTTCTTTTTTTAAACTTTGGCTCTGCGGTGGTTATAGTTGTTGATCATCAACATCACTTGCTTTTCATTAATCAAGTTTTGACTGCTTTTAAATCAAGAATGAGCCCAAACTCCATGATTAGTCATTCAAAATTCTCCATCAAAGAAATAACACACTATGGAATATTGAACTGTTAATTCCAAAAGTGATGCTTTGTTACGCGCGACAACAGATATAAATACACATGTACATAGTGAAGCTCCTTTCAGTACCTTTGTTCGTCCCCCTCGCTCATGTCATGCAGTAGGACGTAGTACTTGAGTGTGTTGGGGATAAACCACTTGGGGTTGGTGTAGTCTCCACTGTGCTGAACCCTGTGCTGCTCCTGGGAAAGCTTGAGGAACTGCTCCACAGGGACGGCCTCAGTGGAGGACACCACCAGTAGGCCTGTAAGGATCCTCCGTCAAGGACATACAACCATGTGGAGCAATCGGAGAAGAAAAGGAGAGCCTATGGGATCCAAGGACTTCAGCTGAACTAATTGAAGTTAATACGTAAACCAAGTCTTTTGAAAAATAATTTGATTGAAATCAACCTAATAAGATAAATCATGTATTTGTGGCCAATATATACTTGAAAAGGAAGCAGTTATTTTAGAAAAACAACTGTGTCGTTCAGAAGTAGTTTTATATTTAACAGCTACAGTGACTGTGTCAGGATGCTAATGACATCTCTGATATTCAGCTGACAGATGCTGGACCAACCTTAGCTTTACAGGCCAATCTCATTTTAGCATCCCACACAAACTGCTTCACAGCACAGAATCCACCCACGTGTTCAATATGCTTAAAAGGCTCTGAAAATAGGCAGTTAGGTGGTGGATAAATGAACAGACTAATACAAATATATAAGTTTAAACATCTTTTGTTATTTTTCTGTATTTTTGTTTTTGTCTGAGCTTTCCAGTGTTTTAAAGTGAACTGGAAAAGGTGATGTCATGTATAACTTTGCGGCAATCAGGATTAGGCAACAGTTTTAATCCAATCTGGGACATTCAAGTTTGTAAGGGTACCATTATTTATTTTCCCAGAAACAAATCTGAAATCACATCTTCAGGGCCTTTAACATTCACCAGGAACATTCCGACTACTTTAACAACACACATGCAGCACAACTTTTCATCCTTATTTTCCTTCACCTTCCCTCTACAGTAGGTTTTTCACACAGAGGAAAGAAAAGTACACTTTCTAAATAGCAGACAATGATATTGCATTTGTTTTGTGTGCTTGCAGAAGGATACAGGCGAGGTAGTGATTGAGAAACTCATGTTCCGACGCAGGCATCGACTGCAGGAAGTTCTCCCTGTAGGCTTCAAACCATGGCGTTGTCGCTAGAAACACAAAGAAAATATAAGATAGAGGATTTCTTTCAGCAAAACATTATCAGATGTTGTCTTCTTCTGTATGTTACCCAGATCATTGTCATAATTTGATTACTAAAAAGAACAAGTGCATCTTCTTACAACATCTTTACTGACATATACATATAAATATATATCAATGGCAATGTCTGTCTTTTAACCATTTATTTTAAACTGACTTAAAAGTAATACACTCTAATAATTGTAGGGATAGCATTCCAGTATTTTTTGTTGAACAATGTTTAATGAAACCTCCCTCGATGATCTTGTTTGTCTTGTTTGACCAGGAGCTGTTTAAACAACTGTGTGAAGAAGTTGGAGCTTGCAGTATTTTGCAAACAAACAACGTTCGAAAAAAATGTTGTGAAGAATCTTGCTGTTTTGATTTAGAATGAGCATATTACCATGTTATCTGCATATATTTGTATTTGGACATCAGAACAGATGACAAATTATTGATTTTAATGTTGAACAAAAGAGGTCCTAATATATACCCTTGAGGTACCCCAACAGTGGATTTTCCAACTTTTACTAAAACCCCCTATGGCTAAGAAATGAAATAACTATTAACAGGAAAATGTTGTTTGAAAACCCAGTGTGTTTGTTTTTTCAATACTGTTTTATATACAACATTTAAAAAAGTGTGGAGGAATTGGTCTGTTTGAACCAACCATATTCCTTTCAGTCCTGTGAATAATATTCACCTGCCAGATAACCAAGTTCTCTCTGTGGTGGGTTATACTCAGAGTTAGTGTAGAACGGCACTTAAAGTTCCAGTTCTCAAGTTGTCACAGGCTGGGGCCAGGATATTAGCTTTTATAAGATTCTAATCTCTTTGCCTCGAGTCGACCATGCTAATCATCAGTGGCGCAGGATAAAGTAAGACATAGGGGATTACCGCATGTTGCTTTCATCTGTTCAATGAAGCTTGTATTCTAAAGGAGGTGTCACCAGAGCACCCGGGTGAATCTCGTTGGCTATTTAAAGAGATGGATGGACAGCTGGCCAGAATTGACAGGATGCTTTAAGTTATAAAGCATCACCTCAGCGCCAGAAAAAAAGGGTGCGTCTCTGCCCATTTTCTCCTGGCATTCCTGATAATAGAATTACGGACCACTAGAGAAGAAGGAGCTGGAGGTCTCTCCAGTAAAGTAAGCTCTAAGACCTTTAAGTATTGAAGCTAGAGTTGTGCAAATATTTTATATAAACATATATAAAAGTATTTTTAATGTTACTGGTATGATGTCAACATACTGTCAAAATGTCTACTGGTACACCATGTGAGCCGTGCCTGATCTGCATTACTCACATGGGCTGTGTATCAAACCCTTAAACATATGCTTAAAAGAAACTAGCAGCAAGATATAAACAAACTTTTAAGTCACATATAAACAAGTAAAACCCCCCAAAAAGTGACCACAGAATTCCTACTGACAATAGTGAATGCACACATCTTATCAATTCACCTGTAGTTTGCTTTACAAAAGTGTGCACGTTCGTCTGAAGTCTGGGTGAGGTGACACATTTCTCTTTTATAAATAACACTTGTGAGGGGAAAGGTGTGTGCATGCATATTGTGCGTACATATTGATTATTTATCTGATCCTAAGTCATAAATAACAAAGTTGTCATTTTATACTAGCAATCACAAAAGCAAAGGAAAAACCCACCAGAAGGTAAACAGCAGAGAGACAGTGAACTAGAAACTAGAGGAAGAGAAAACTCAGAGGACTATCTCTACACACACACCAGCCAGGAAACAGTGATACCTGAGAGGGCTATAGCTACACACACATCAGCCAGGAGATAGTGATACCTGTGTAGTGCTGGGAGGTGCTGACTTCCGACAGTGTTTCTCTCCAGGCACTGTACCAGGGGAGGCTAGCTTTAAGAGAGTGATCTGATAGGTGGAAGCAGACAGCCAGCGCTAATGTTAGCAACATCCCATTTCATTTATGGTCTCTTCATTTACAGAATTTACAGATAATCACGGGAGAAAACAGGGAGGAGTTTCATTTAATGTCATTATAGTATTGTAGTATGATTGCATACATTTTTGAATTTTTGTAGTTCAGTTTATTGATCAATACAGGAAGAGTACAATTTGTGTGTAAGGTCGAGCTGGTCTTTATTTTGAGGTCAAACTGTAAGTGTGTGCTCATTTGATGTAGACAAATGAGGACGACCTCTAAAAAACACACTTAAATTAATTGTATTCAGTTATTTTCATTGTAATGCATCTATATGCATAGGCAAATATCAACTCAAGTGTTAACAATAACTTGGAGAAATATTATGGACAATATAAATCCCTGTGCCAACACACTGCAGAGCACCTGTTGTCTTAATTTTCCCAAATCAATTATTTTGATACTTTACACGTTCTGAAATACAATCTCTGATCTTTGATCATCTATTAATGTCATACATCTTACTGGCAACACCAAAGCATTTAGCTCAACTTAAGTGCTTTACTAAAAATGCAATGAAATTGATGTGCTGTTGCTGTTGTGTACACAGAGCGGTGATGATGAAAACTAGAAGTTAGTGAAATGCCCGGGGGTTTGGAACTGCTCTCTGTAGTTGAGTGCTGTATAACCTGTTGACAAACGTATTTAAAGTTAATTCATTAGTGAAACCATCGGTTCAATGGCATGTTACTTGACGTGTTTGATGGCATGTTCCATGGCTTGGAGAATGGCGTGTACCATTGTGCTAACCATGGCCTGTACCATGATGTGCTCCATGGCGTGTGATAAGGCGAGTTCCATGCCTTGTTCCATGGCTTGTTTCCTTGTGTACCATGGCATGTTCTGTGATAAGTTCCATTGCTTGTTACATGTGTTGCATGGCAGGTTCCATGGTGTGTCCCATGGTGTGTTTAAGCCATGTTCCATGCCTTGTTACATGACAAGAACGATTGTGTAGTCAGGGGCGCCGTAAGGGGGTGAAAGGTTAGGACGATTCTAAGGGCCCGTGACTGACAGGGGCCCCAACATTTTTAGAACATTAAGAAAAAATGTTTAAGTAACCTTTCATCAATCATCAACAATTAACATTAATATAACGTTAAATTCATAATGTACTCACTACACTTACGATTCATTTCACTTTTTTTCTGCCAAAAGTTAATAATCCAAAGCCTCTGTACACCCCTCTCTATTTACATGTAATGGTTTGGTCCTGCCTCCAAATGCTGTGTGGCACCGCACTTTCTGGCAGAGAGTGGGAGCATGTGAGGAGTGATGCTAGTACTTACGTCTGTGCCATCTCTCAACCACTCACAAAGTCAAGCTTTCAAGAAAGAAAAGACAGGAGAGAGGGATTAAAGGGCGACAGTATGTCACCCAGTTTTTCAAAAGAAAAGGTGGGTGGTCCATGGTGGAAATTAGTCTGTTAGCTAAGCTTAGTCCATTGTAAATAATAATTGTAATGTTTTGCTGACATTAAGTACTGTCAATATCTTCACAGAAAATTCTGAGGTTTTTCATTTCATTCCTCTTTTAGCTCACATTTAATAAATGCAGGTACATTTTTAGCAGCTATTCATACTAAATCAGTTGTCCCTCCCCCTGGTGCCAGGACCAACAGATCCGTCTCTAGTCTCAGCAGCCCTGTCCCCCCATAAGGCTTTGCAGTCTTGCCATGCTGTCCATTGAAAGCCAGTTGGCTAGAAAGCTGGACTTCAAGGACTTTATCAGTGACTTTGCCTGTAAGAAGGCTAGGCGCTGGGCTCTTGGTGAAGGCTGAGCAAGGGCTCGTAATAACTGTTGAAGGGCAAGGCTATGGTAACGATATTGGATCACACAGAAGACACATGATGAGAAAAAGACTGAGAACAGGTAATAGGCTCTAATTTAGCACCACCATCAGGCCTTACCATTTCCATTTCCGTTTTGTTGTCCATTTACACTTTAATACCCGCTTATTTTGTAGTTGGTATGTATGAAAAAATCTGCTGCTTATGTTATTTCTTTTGTTATAGCATTTTATAAATGATAATATTGGTGTTAATGTTCACTTTATTTTAATTTAAGAGATCATGTACATTTAAGTTATATTTATTTATATTTATGAATGTTCCATTGAAAAATGTTATTAAAA